CGGCGGCGGCGGCGGAGCTTCTGGATGAAGAAACAGTGGAGCCTGAGACGCTAGATCTGGGAGAAAGGGATCTCGGTGAACAACACACAGATCCGGGGGCCAGGGGGGTTCACACGCGAGCAGGAGAGAGGAAGCCATGAAGACTGGGACGGGGGAGAGTTCTCAGCGCGGCGCGTGAGGCACCAGCACCGGCGGCGAGGAGGAAGGAGCCTTTCGCCTAAGAATCGCTATAAGAGCGCGTGGAATCAGATATTTTTAAGCAAGTTTTGTCCTTAATATGAGTATCTTAGTTTACATCTAATTCTTCGAATTAAACCATTTTTTTCTAAAAGGGTTTGATTTTGTAATAATTTTTGTTAGTGTCAATTAATTTGATTTTCTGTCTTAGATTAGCAGATATCTTTTTATAAAATTAGGCATGAATTGATATATGTTAATTTGATAAATAAACAAAAATGAAATCAATTAAAAGTTACATAAAATTAAATAACAAGAACTTTTTGAAAGTTCATGCACATATATAAATTTTACAAAATAACTTATTTGTAGTAGTTGATTATATTCATTTACTTATATGATGTAAGTAGTTTCATATATATACTATTATTTAAGAAGTAAATTTGCTTAGTTGTCATGTTCTCCATAAATTTAGGTAATTTTATTTATTTATCATATTTTTAATGGTTATATATATATATACTATTATTTAAGAAGTAAATTTGCTTAGTTTTCATGTTCTCCATAAGTTTAGGTAATTTTATTTATTTATCATATTTTTAATAGTTATATATATATTTTATTTATAAATAAAACGAATCTTCTATACTATTATTTAAGAAGCAAATTTGCTTAGTTGTTATGTTCTCCAGTTTAGGTAATTTTATTTATTTATCATATTTTTAATATTTATATATATATATATATTATTTATAAATAAAACCAATTTATATGAATTATCTTATTTTCTATAAATTTGCTTAGTTGTCATGTTCTCTATAAGTTTAGGTAATTTTATTTATTTATCAAATTTTTAATATTTCTATATATTTTATTTATAAATAAAACAAATTATAGGAATATATCATATTTTTAGAAAATAAGATAATTCTTGTGAATTATGTTGTTATTGAATTATGTTATTATCTTGAAATATATTTTTATTTATAAAACTGAAAATTTAAATTAAGATATAAAGACTTTTATACTTATCTTAAACGAATTTATATTAATAATTAAATATTTAAATATAAATAAACCGAATTTATGTTAATAATTTAATATTTTCTAAAATAAGATAATTATTATGTATTATGCTGTTATGTTGAAAATATATTTTCCTATTATAAAACTTAAAATTAAGATATAAAATTATATATTAATAATTAAATATAAATCATAATTAAATATAAATCATCAAAACAATTATTTGAAAGTGAATTTGAGATTTGTCTCCATGATCCTAGGTAATTTTGATCATTTATCAGAATTTCTATAATTTTGTTTATTATTGATTATATAATTAAAACTAATTTATATTAATAATATGATATTTTAGAAAATAAGTTAATTATTCTATATTATTAATGTAAATTTATTTCAATTATAAAATAACTACAACTTTTTATATCTTAATTTTAAATTTCTAATAGAAAAATATATTTTCAAGAGAACAACTTAATACATAAGAAATATCTTATTTTCTAAGAATATGATGCTATTAATATAAACTTGTTTTAAATATATAATAAATTATATTAAAATTAGAGAAATTATGATAAACTATCAAAATTATCTAAAATCATGAAAAATATGACAAATCAACAAGCATTAAATTCATTTTTTTAAATAATTGTATAAATTTTTTTACATGTTAATTTTAAATTTTATAATAGAAAATATATTTTCGAGATAACAGCATAATAAATAAGAATTAACTTATTTTCTAAAATATCATATTGTTAATATAAATTAGTTTTAATTATATAATCAATAATAAAAAAAATTAGTGTAATTCTGATAAATGATCAAAATTATCTAGGAACATGAAGACAAATCAACAAATTCACTTTTCAAATAATTGTTTTGATGATTTATATTTAATTATTATAGTATAATTGTTATATCTTAATATCAAGTTTTATAATAGGAAATATATTTTCAACATAATACATAAGAATTATCTTATTTTAGAAATATATAAAATTATTAATATAAATTCGTTTTTATTTTATAATAAATTTTATATGAAATTATTAAAAATATGACAAATAATCAAAATTACTAAATTATGGAGAAATTACAAATTAGATAATTCACTTAAATTTGTAAAGTGATTTTTCGCAACGGAGCTTCCACGTTATAAGTTGAAATGATTAATATCGTTTATACCCTTAATGGATAAAATATATAAATCAACCAAAAATAAAAGACGAGTTTATATTTATTAGATTAGATAAATGATTTTAATTAATAATAATGATAAGAATTATCCATAATTTAAATATATATTTAAAAATAAAATAAAATAAAAAGATAATTCCTATATATATTGTGTTGTTATGAGAAAAATATATTTAATTCATATATAATAAATCATAAATTAGAAACAAATTTGACTGATTTGATGACTATTATTATCTAAAAATAGTTGATATTAATAAACCATAAACTAAAACTGAATTAATATATAAATAACAATAAATTAATTATATTTAAAAAGGTGAATTTTCTAATTTATCATATTCTCCATAATTTTATGTAATTATACTTCTTTTATCATGTTTGTATGATTTTGACTAATGATTAATTATTTCCGTTAATTAATGACTAAATAAAATTATTATTATATAATTATGAACCGTATATTAATTAGATTTACTACCCTTAATGACAAAGCAAACATAAACTTAATGACTAATTGGATTTATTACTATATAATGACTAATTAGATCTATTACTATATAATAATTAGAAACAAATCTTATTTGTCATGTTTCTTATGATTTGATGATTATCATTATCTACACTAATGATTATAATAAATCGAGTTATTCATTATATAGTAATAAATCTAATTAGTCATTAAGTTTATGTTTGATTCGCCATCAAGGATAGTAAATCTAATTGTCATGTTCTTATGAATTTTACTACCTTTAATGACAAAGTAAACATAAACTTAATGACTAACTAGATTTATTACTATATAATGACTAATAGTTATTACCATTTGACCAAAAAAAGATTTATTACTACATAATAATTAAAAATTCATTATATAATTAAACATAAGTAAAAAACGAATTTAAATGATTTTAGATTTATCTTTATCTAAAACTATTTTATATTGTATTATAAAATCTTTATTAACCTTGAAATATAATTATATTTTTAGTAATATATCATTAATTATAAATTAAAAACGAATTTCATTTATTTGATAATTATCCTTATTTAATGTTTTATATTATGTTTTTATCAACATTGAAAATAATTATATTTGTTAATATATAATTAATTCTAAATTAAAAATGAATTTCATGAATTTGATAATTATCATTATCTAATTTTTTATAATTCTGTTATAAGTTTGTATTAACCTTGAAAAATAATTATATTTGTTAATATATATTTAATTATGAAAAAGTAATTCGCAAAGAATTTATGTATAGATAGTTTACATTACTAAAGATAATTTTATTATAGTTTTTTGTTATGTCTAAAAATGATATTAATTTATTACTAAATATTTTAAATTTATGAATATTTTCACATTTAATTTGTGTATGACAATTATTTATATGATGATGAAAAATTTTATATATAGAAAGAATTTGTTTATATTATTATTAAATATTTGAGTGTATGAACATCAATTTATTATAATTTACTTAAACTGATTATATTTTTTTATAGATATTAGAAAATTATTAAGCCCGCAAGTGCGGGCAAAACACCTAGTATATATATATATATATATAGAAGATTATTATAGATAATAACATGTTGTTATTTTAATTAGACTCTGATTTGGGTATAGATTAGTCTGGTTAATCATATTACATGTATATTAACTTAAAATTATTCATCCAAATTAGTTGTCAAAAAAAAAAAATATTATTCATCCAAATTAAATATAGTTGTTTTCAGTTCTATTTATAAAATAGGGTTAAATTATTTAGAAAAAAATATTTCATATACCTGATTATATTTAGAATAAAAATATTTTAGCTATATTTTAGAATATTCAAATAGTATAAAAATATAATAGTAAAAATATGTTTGTTGGGATTATGTTTTAAGGAAAAATTATTTTTTTTACAATATTAAGCTTATTTGTTTTTGTGAAGTCTCCTTTTCACGAAATCATTATGAAGTAAATATATATATATCCAGGTTTTAAAATTTATAAATAGTTTTGTTTAAATATATGTGATTTGAAAACCAATATAAGGAAAAAGTTAAATTTCAAAATCTGACTACAAACTATCAAAAATAAATATAAAAATAGAATTATACTAATGGAAATATATATATATATATATATTACTTTAATTCATTAAATATATAATTAAATAATATTATATAATTAACTTGAAAACGTAAGAAACATATTTTCAAATAATATTATAGAATAACTTTAGATTTTGTTACAAATAGTTCATTTATAAAAAACTTGATTTCAAATTGTTATATATATAATTAAAATCACTTAACTTTTAATAACATTATTTAATTAAATATTTGAAATTTAAATTAAATAACATCAGATTTATGAATTTTTCTTTGAGAATTAGCATTCAAGAATTTATAATTCATAATAAAAAATACAAATCATTATTAAATAACAACAGATTATATATAGTTGGATTTAAAAAAAATTAAAATAACACCCTGTATTTGTTTTTTTAGACAACATATAAATAAATTGGATCTAGGGGTGTATTCTTTAACCTAAATTTGTAGTTCTTAACTGGTTATCACATCGGTAAGTTCAGCCTAACATGAACCGCGATGATGAACAGCCGCAGAATCTACAATCTCATTCGTTTTCTTCCCTTCCCGATGAAATCATTGAGAACATTCTTGCTCGTGTCTCTAGATACAACTACCCTAGTCTTTCTCTAGTCTCCAAGAGATTCCACTCTCTCCTCTCTTCTCCCCAACTGTACATGACACGATCTCACATCAGAACCACCGAACCATGTCTCTATCTCTGCCTAAAACATTCCATAGACCAACCTCCTAGATGGTACAGTCTTTGGATGAAATCTGTTGGGGAAACCCTAATCGAGCACGAGGAAGACAATCATGTTCTTCCACGTGATGACTATTCGTTGTTTCCGGTACCTTCTTCTTCTTCTAATCCTCTTCGCGAACCATATTATACCTCAGTAGCGGTTGGTTCCGAACTCTATGTAATCGGTGGTTCTTACAAGGCACCTTCTTCAGCTGTTCGCATTCTTGATTGTCGGACTCACACATGGCGTGATGGCCCTAGTATGTTGGTGGCTCGGTGGCATGTCAATGTGTTTTTACTCGATGAGAAAATATACGTGATGAGTCATTCCCGGAACGAGGCCCTTGATTGGATAGAAGTGCTGGACATAAAGACTCAGACATGGAGACACGTGAGGAGCCATGGAGCCGACGAGTTTGACAGAAATGGGTTTGTCATTAATGTGTTTGAAGGAAAGATTTGCGCAATTGCTTCAAAGAAGAGCTATGCTTATGACCCGCTAGAAAGTAGGTGGGAAGTTGTGGAGGAGCTCCCGCAGTACTTAAAATTTATAAGGGCTTGGTGTGTAATAGAGGATGTAAAGTATTGTTTTACAAACTCCGGTGATTGCAAATGGTATGACTCCAAAGCTGGAGACTGGATAGATGTCAAGGGTTCGGATCTCAAACTAATGCACAGACATAGAACATGTAGCTTAGCATGTAGGCGAGCAGAAATGCACAACCTTGGTGGGAAACTCTTAGTTATGTGGACCCCTGTGTCTCTTCCTGGAAGTAGAATATGGTGCGCGAAGATGGCATTAGAGAAGCGTGGAAGTGAAGTTTGGGGTAAGATAGAATGGGCTAATAGTGTCTCCCAGTCGTGTTGGTTCTCGAGTTGTGTTGTCTCGATTTGATGGTTTGTAACAAAATGGTATATGCTTCAACGACATTATGCAGTTATTATGGTGTCAGAGCACCTCCAATGGTGTTATCCATTATGGAATCTTTAAGAATTTAAAATTATTAAAATTGTAAAACATTTAAATTTAAAACTTTTATTTATTGAATGATTAAATTTAAACATACAATAATTATACATATCATCATTATCAAACTTGTTCCAAATATTTTCAACCAAATCATTTTTCAATTGTTTATGTATACGCCCATCATTTATAAATTGTTTTTTTTAAGAAACTCATTTGTAAGTAAAGATCGTTTTCTTTTTAAATGATTAAAATTACAATATTTATAAAATCTAATATTCCATGTAATAAGGCATCAGGTCTTTTCCATTAAAGTTTTCTATAAAACAATAAGCAATGAAAAAAAGAGGTATTCATAAAATCACCATTTAATCTTTTTCACAGGTACACTAAAATAATATGTATGTATAAGATTCGGGAAAGAAAACAAAAAACAGATGGTTTTTCTCTTCCTACAGCAACTGACACATGTTAAGGATTCAATCCTTGCACACCTTATATAAGTATTCATCCCTAGCTCACATAACATGAATAATATCATTTAACTCTAATTTGCATTGGTTTCAACGCTAAGGATTTACTTAAATCCTGTGTTGCACCTGCTCTTAGTTGTTCTAATCTTAGAAGTTAGACCTTCTCACTGTGCCTAATATAACCACCACCCAAAGTAATACAAACAAATCAACGAGAAAGCTTTTAAAACATAATATATGACTATATATTTGTTTTTTTACCATTTTCAATCCGTGTTTGATCTCTCATATAGTCATATGTTACACTTTGGATTTTGATCATCTCATATATAATCCACTCACTTGCTTTGAAACTTCAGACTTGTGCTTTGAAACTTCAGACTTGCTTTTACAGTCATCAACTCCTCTGACAACAACAACCGCGACTCCAGTTTTGTATTAGATTGATCTCTAGTTTGTTTTATATAAGTAACCCTTTGTGCAAGTGTACTCGATTGGCAATCATATTTAGTGGAAAGCTGATTTCGATTCTTGTATAAATTATTCAACCCACATGAACTTCCTTATACTCACTCTCTATCTCAATCTTGGCGTATCACACCAAAAACAATAACAAAAACTTTGATAAAGTGGAAAAAGAATTGACAAAGTCATTCTTCAAAATCTATGATATGTAACTTTTAGCAGAGACAATAAAGAGCTAACTTAATATATTTATTCCCATGCAAAATATATACACGGACCAAAAGTAAAAAAAAAAAACAGAAGCTACAATTAAAATTTAAAACAAAGAAGTCAAAGAACACCTACATGTCCATGAACTTGATCATCTTCACGACCCACACCCACACCCCTAACCATAATCCCATTCTTAATCTCTTCTTCTGTATACATATAAGCCAACCCACCATGACTCGTCGGATCCATCCCGGCGACCTCATCCTCCGACGGTATCCTCAACAGTTTCAACTTATGCAACACAAAAAACAAAGTCCCCATCGTCACACTAACCCAACCCATAATAACCAAAATCTGCACTACGTGCGCCGCAAGCAACCTCCCTCCTCCACCCATCAACAACCCAAACGGTCTATTCGGATCGCCTCCATAAATCTCCGACACATAGGTCTTATCCGCAAACAACCCGGTGAAAATAATTCCCCAAGCACCACAACCACCATGAAGCTGAGCCGCTTCTAAAGGATCATCGAATTTAAGCCTATCAGCTAACTTGTTGAATCCCATCAGCACCCATGCCGCTACAAACCCGCAGATAACCGCGGCCCACGGTTCTACAACCGAGCAGCCGCTGGTTATCGCGGCAAACCCACCTAACAAACCGTTACACACATCCGTAACGTTCCAATACCCATCAATCAATCTCTTCCCAAAAAGCGTCGTTAGCGCCGCGGTACATCCAGCTAATGTCGTTGTAACAGCCGTTCTACCGACAGCACTCCACTGTCCGTAGAACGAGCTCCCGGGAGAGGTCCCGTACGATTTAAAAATAATCGCGAACGAACCGGGGTTAAACCCGTACCAACCGAACCATAACAAAAACGTACCGAGCACAACTAAAGTCGCGCTGTGCCCACGCAACGTAAGCGGTTTAGTCCTCCGTTGCTCGAACCGGCCGATTCTCGGCCCTTCGATCAAAGCTCCCCACAGACCAGCGATCCCTCCAACCATATGAACAACACCTGATCCCGCAAAGTCAATCACCCCTGATTGAAACAGAAGGTTATCGGTTCTGGCTGGCGACGCCCACCCGTCGCTAGACCAGAACCAATGGGATACAATCGGGTAAACCAATCCGGTTAAGAAAGAAGAATAAATCAAATACGCAACGAACTGCGTCCTCTCAGCTATCGACCCGCTCGTGATCCCGGCCGCCGCGATTGCGAAAGTCCACTGATAGAGAAAGAACGGATAGTCGAAACTAGGTTTAGGGAAATCACTCATCCCGAACATATGTTTTCCGATGAATCCGTTGGAAGGAGCTCCGTAAGCGAAGGCGAAGCCGAAAAGGTAGTAGAAGAGGCCACCGGCCGCTGCGTCTATGACGTTGGTGAGCATTATGTTCATAGTGTTTTTGGCGCGGACGGAACCAGCGCAGAGCATGGCGAAGCCGAGCTGCATGGAGAAGACTAGGTACGCTGAGAAGAGGAGATATGTGTTGTCTATTGCGTAGGCCGCGTCGGTGAATTTTCCCGAGACGGTTTCGAATCTCTGGCAGATGAATTCGGCTGCTGCGGCTGCGGAGGTGGCGTTGCCTGATAGGAGAGGGATTAGATCAGTGGCGTTGCACGAGATGGTTGATGAAGCCATTAGATTTGAAAATTTTGGGAATGAAAGATTGTTTGTTTGAGAGAGAGAGATGAGTGTTTGTTTATAGAAAGGGAAGAGGTAGGTAGAGAGATTCACGAGATTCTTGTTAAGAAGGAAAGTGAACCTTTCAGATTCTATCTTTTTTTAAAAAAAAATTAAAAATTTTAAAAGAATTATTTTTTTTAGTTAAAGATTCAGTAACGGCTTTTTCCACAATTGTTGTTAGTTTTGACTTTTCTTTCCGACAAGTGCTCTCGCCAAAGTTAATGGAGTACCGTCCAATTAACGACCGTCCTTTTTCTGTGGAGTGTATATATTTTTTCTTTTTCTAAATATCTTTGACCACTTTTTATTTAAAGTAGAAACTAATTATTTACTATAAATAAAAATATGATTTGTAAAATTCCCTTCAAGGAAATTTTGATCCATTTAAGCCATATCTATTACTTAAAAAAACGAGTATGAATGAATATATAAAAAAGGAGATTGATCACTGATACCAAAATTAGTGAAAAAGTAGAGTTTGGTATCAGAAATTTTAATGTTAACCTCCTAACTAAATACTTTACGGACTTATTAAGTCAGAAATTTTAATGTTTCAACCATTCAAAGGTTTCAAAATTGAATTGAAAAGTCGTAGAAATGACTTGACCAGACAAGAGACAAAACCGGATGGGTTGGAGTACTATTGTCCGTGAGGCAGTCTTCACTCTTGGACAATACTTTATTGGTCCTTCTTCCATATCGTTGTTGTTGCTGCTACTCTGCTGGATGATTAGGAGTCTCAAACAGGAACTCCACTCGTCAGCACGTTACTAGTCTTCATATTATGGCTAAAAATGTAGTGTACACTTTGCTGTAAGATGCTGTCACAGTTGAGATATGTAAATGTAGCGCCTCCACTTGATTATTGAGTCCATGTGAATGTATTGGAAGAGAGCACTTAAGGGTTTAGGGTTACAATTTCAAGACTCTATTCTTTGAATATAGAATAACAGAGGAGCACGAACTATAAACCATTGTAATGAAAGTACAATTTTGAGAATTGAAACTCAAGTAAAGATCAAAACTATGAGATAAAAGATTATAAAACCAAAAGAGTTTTTCTTTTTAAAAAAACGTAACACACACATTATACTCATAGAATAGTCTCTCCAACCTCATTGCTTCTTAACAAACTGTAACCCGTTCTGGTCTGAATACCTCTCCATAAACCTCATGAACCTATCCCATTCCTTCGGCGTCCTCATCACATGCTTCGCCACAATCCCTTCCGGTTTCCCGTTCACAAATCTAGCGTTCACATCCGTGGACTGTATCACACCTTCCTCATCAATCATGTACAACCCTGTTATCTCACCGACCTCACCGCTCGAGTCGAAAACTGATGGTTGGTCAAAATTGAAGAGTGCCATTCCGTTGGATCCGTCCCTTGACCGTGTCAGCTTGACGTCAGGGATCGTCAGCTCATCGGTGCCTTGGATGAATTGGAGAGCTGGTTTGACCATCATTGTGATTGGGAGGAGACAACTCCGAGGTTTTGGAGTTGTTGGAGATTGTGGTTGGAGTCGAGGGATGGAAAGGGGTGAGCCAGTGAAGGAGGAGGGTGTGATGAGATGAACAGAGCATGAAGACATGACAATGCCTGCGAAAAAGAAACAGAACAAACGTGTGGTTCTTTATTACACATTTCGAGTTAATTATTACTAATAACCAATTATTACAGAACACACTTAAACTGTTATATCATGATATTATTACAGGAAGCTACTACACAAAACCCTTGTTTCTCAACCTTTTCAACTGCTAATGTCATAATCATCTAAAGAAGAAGGGGAAGTGACGAAACAGTACCTGAGCTGCGTGAAGCATGTAGAGGAGAATGAGTAGCGGAAGTTAAAGAACCTATCGAACGAACACAAGCCATTTCTCGTGCTTATCGATGTGCGCGAGGAAAGTAGAGACAGAAGAGTAGAGGAAGGAGATGAAGCGAAGGTCTCTCTTCTTGGTGTGGTGACAGGAGAATCGTGACGTGTTACCACCAAAGCCGTTCCTTGATTGGATACTGTCATCGTCTCGTATATGGGCTTTTGACTTAAGGCCCAATAATAATCAACTTCATTTAGTTTCGTTTATCATATTCATATGATAAAACCCATATGGGTTTTCGTGAGAGAGAATCTTGCTGTATCTTTGAAGTAGAGTAAAATGAATCCCATGAAACACACGTGGCAGTGGCACATGCGTGCAGATCGTTGAAACAAAGCTGGTTACAAGTCAGTGATGCCATAACGAATCCCATGGCCATGTGAGCAAAACCGTTAGCATCTTTGTCAATAGTAGTTATTAATTATGTATGCCATTGTCTGTTGATATTAAAATGTTTAACTCAAACTCAAAAACACCCAATTTGCAAAGGGTTTATGTGCTTTGTGGGATTAGGATCCTAATGTTGGAAACTGATTCCAGATATGTTCAAGAAAAGATGCTTTTTTAGCTCTACAAATCGCTCTTCTCTGCACCACGAAGCTCCCTAAGGACAGACCTTCAATGGGAGATGTGATATCTATGCTCGGGGAAGCTAAACCGATGAGGTATATAATAGTAATGACGTAAAACACTAGCTGTTGTAGCTTGGCCGAGAAACAATAGTATAACACTTGTAAATGGCCTTCTTTAGGACGTGTTGATTTGTCCTTATGCAGAAGTGAGAGATCTTTGGTCTTTTGATTTGATTATTTTTTTCCATGTAGAATAACACTTTTCTTTATACAGATCTTATTATCTTGTGCATTGCTCTGAAACGTTTTGTGAGTTTTGAAACTTTTGTTATAACTTGTCAAGTGTGTGATTTACAATGAGAACATATAACTAACTAAAAAAATGGCAGAGCCAAAAACTGTAAAGGCAAAAAGAAGAAGAAGATTCTTAAATTGCTGTTGTCTTCTCTTTGATCTTGTGATCTTGTCTTATTATATTGTTTCAAACATGAAGGGTTCTTGTTGAGTATTATATGCTTCATAAGATCATTTGAGCTGTAAACAAAGATTAAACAAACTGTCACAACAACATAAAAAGAAAAAAAATCTTTAATACAGAAATAGAGATTTGATGGAGATCTAGTAAATATACCTGTACCAGTAGCTTCTGATGTTTTCATTATCCGGAGTCTTTTCACAGAACCAATAAACAACCTGGAACACAAGTAAAACTCAGTTCATGATTCAGAGTTTTGAACTTAACATTGGACTGAACATAAGAATATATCCAACATACCCCCAAGGAACATCACCAACAAGCATCCAATCTCCTTCCTTGTCTTCATAAGTTAGTACTAATCCTGAAGACCCATCTGGTAGTATCTTTCTCCCTGCTTCCAGGTGACCATCTGTTTTGGGTTTCAGAAACATATCTTCAAGAGTGTTGGACAAAGATTCATAGCATTTATGAGCGTTCAGATCGATTTTCCTTCCAATGGGAATACCATCCATAGTCACCTTCACAAACATGGAGTTTCTCATCTTTGTTGCATCAATTCTAATGATGTTGGAGTCTTCCATGGCCAATGACTTGGCTTGGTTAACCATACTGTTCATTCTGTATGTCCTTATTGGTGGCCACCCCACAACTTGCCTACAATTTTAAAAGTTTTCAAATAGCTCAACACTGAGTAAATACAAAAAAAAAAGAATAAACGTCTCTAAGGACTAATATCAATAAGATACAACAGTGATCAAAAGAACATTATGTCTGATCATTTTTTATTTCTAGAACTGGAAATGGTTAAGAATCTCACCCACTAGTTGCGGCCATGGAATCAGCTGTTCTATTGATCCCAGCAGTGACGCTAGCTCTGCTACTCAAAGAAGAAGAAGAAGAAGAATCATCAGCGTAAGAAACCCTATGTTCTCGACCTAAGCTCAACGTTAGACCAAGCTCAAGTTCGTTCTCTGCCGGAGAAGAAGAATCCTCACAAGAGATGAGGACGTTTTCATCTTTTGACAAGGTTGAAGCCGACACACTAACGGAACCGCCTTCCATTGATCAAGGATTGAAGATTTTGATGGTAAGGGAAGATAAGATGAGAGATGAGTTGAATTTGAAGCAAAGTTTTAGACTTTAATAAGTAAGGCAAAAAACAGTGAGGAGGAAAAATTAGAAAAAAAAAGGGAGAGGAAACAGAGGATGAACAAGAACAAGACACGACGGGTGGGATTTGTCTCTTTTTCTTTTCACTTCCGTAACTTTAGTCTTCTTTTTCGCCTTAAATATCGATTTTTTATACACAATAAATATTACTTAAAAAAGGAAACTTAAATTCACTTTTATTCTGTGAATATATTTACTTGTGTCTACTTTTTCTCACAAAAATATAATTTGATGATTGTAATTGTAGGCTACAACTATATTCCTCCTTCTGTTTTATATTTGATGATGTGTTTACATCAGTGTACACATATTAAGAAATCTGTTTTTTTTTCCAAAAATAATCTTAAAATATAATTTAAATATAAATATTAAAAATATAATTGGTTACACAGTTTTGATAAATATAAAGTATCTAGGTATATAAAACATTATCTATTATGAAACAACAAAAATTACTTTAGAGTATACTGAACCGGAAAAAATATTATTTTGTGTCTATAAAATAGTGTAAAATAATTTAATAAATCATTAATTTGCGACAAAATAGTATTTATTTAAAATTAAATAACAACAGTTTTATTAGTTTAACATAAGAATATTTTACTGCAATTTTGATAAAATTGGATGTGATGAATTTATTCTACCTTTCGCTTATATTTCTTTCATATTACAGTATTCTATAAATTATTCTATGTTTACTATTTATCATCATTAACATAATAGCATTTAAGAAAATATGATGAATAATCCATCAAGGTGGGTAATGTTCAGATGTTTTTGGTTGTTATTGACTCCAAATCTGAGATAGATCGGTTAGAACTTAGATTTAAAAAGAAAGATGATATCAAAACGGTTGCATCCGTGGGATTAATAAAAGCAAATTAAATAATAAAAATTCCGAAATATTTATGCATACATATCCTCAAACTTGAGAACTTCAAGAGAAAGTGGGGGCTCACATGTCAGCTTCATGGGATTCAATCGGACGGCTAGCAAAAGGATACTTAGAAGGCTACGTGGGACCCACGTAAACAAGGGGGGACTCGTGCCCACGTCCTTTTTGGTCCATCTCTCCAAATCCAACGGTGGCTATTGGTTCATGTTTAAAGCTAAAATCATAATTATACAGACATTTAAAATGAGTATGTCAATCAAGTGGCTATCTGATCTATAATCACGTAATTAAAATTCAGTTTTAATTAAAAGAGATAGAGAGAGTTTAGCTGTCCATTTTTAGTGGTGTCCGAATAAAAAATCTGTCGTCTGGAGGGAAGACATAACCGACCGTTGCTTCTTTACTTTCCAAATAAACCGTTCAATAAATTAATTAGAGAGTTGAAAGTTTTGAAAGTGTTAGTTGTCCATCTAGGTCCCACTCTCTGAATGGGATTCCCTGCGGTGTGCACCACCTCAATTTTAAAGTATCAGATTCTCTCTCTCCTCCTCTAGCCTTGAAAAACAAAGACAAGTGGCAACATAGGAGTAAACCAGCAGGAAGGTATGGGTCGAGGACTTTGCCTAGCGTCTCTAGCTCGTGGATGAGCAAGTCCTCCGGTGAAATCGACTTCCATTTTCAGACAAGAGAAGTGATTATCTGAAACTAGGGTTTTTTAAAGGAATGCTAAAGAAGACTTCATACAATCAAATTGGAGATTTGTAAACTATTATCATTTTAGTCATTTAGCTAGATAAACTAAGCAATGAGCATTATCAACTTGACTAATATTTAGGATATGATTTGAATAATTGACTTGAAAACTATGATTGCTTCTTAGTGTAGCCTTATTGACAAAAGACAATAACTTAAATGCGACCTTGTAATAGGGAGATCAGTAGTAACTTGTAACCAAGAGGTTCCAAACCTTATTTTGGTTTAAAATTTGATTATTTGTTCATATATATATATAATGTTCTGTTTATGTCATAATCAAAGATTCAGATTTGGGTAGTTAAGAAAACTAATATTTTTATTTTACAGAAATTTTAGAGCAAGTGGAATTTTTACTTGTTTGTTTTAGACCAAGTGGCTTAGTCCCTCCAGATCCAGTAGTATTATCATATTTTTTTAGGTAACCCACTAAATTGCGATAGTGTATTACCATCTGAATTCAAATCCGAGTAATGTATGTATATTTTGTAAATAAAAGCTTAAACATAAAAACCAGAGCTTAATAAAATGGGATGGAGCCAAACTCATGATTAACATCTATATTCTTATTGGACAATGAAACATCATTTATTAATATCAATAGAAAACTACTTCGGGCCCTTAGCGGCCTTATAAGGAGTGAAAGACCACAAACATAAAAATAAATAAAAGAAAAAAGAAAAGACCAAAGCCTATTAAATAACTCAAAACTGTCCAATAAACATCGTCCACGTGCAGATTTAAAGATTTTAGCAATTATGTCCGAACAAGCAAGTAATTTCTACGCGCTGTTTCATCGCGCGTAAGTGTACGACGGCTGATCTCATATGCTTAAGAGACAGCCACCAAAAACACCTCCTTGGACGATGAAAGTACAAAAAAATATCACCGTCAACATTCTCTTATTGCGGACAAACATTACAACAAGACGACAAATTTCTCCCGATTATCTTCCTCCCAAGAGGGAAATTTATTACAAAAATGATTATTCAAGATTCGTTTCTCTCGTCTCCATGAATTGCTAGGTGATAATTTTTCGATTGGTTATCAAAATTTGATATCTTTAGAGCATAATTATAAATATCTTTGCTTTGTCCAGAAACTTCGTTCACAATTGGTTGATTCGGATTCGATTTTTGGTGTTTGTTTAATGTTTTGATTTTTTTTTTCTTTTTCCAGCGAATTTGATGTTTGGTTGGATAATGTGTGTTTGCTTTTGTTAGATGCTTTGTTGTGTTATTTTATTTCAATTAGATTTTGTTTATGTTTCATTTACCTTCTTCTTATAATATTTTCTCATTAATGATTCCTTCTCTGCTGAGTTTTCTCAGCTACATTTCTTTTAAAATCAGACTGCTAATTTTGTTTTTAAAATCAGACAGTGAGGCTCGAACTCATGCTGCTTGTTGTCTTCTGTCTCTGTTTCTAGAGATTTTTCTGATCGGATCTGTGTTCACTGAGGTTTTGTTTGTTTGGTGGTTACTATTTGACAACACCTATTGATTGTAATGGGGTTTACAGTTATTACCAAGGTTCTTGAATCTTGAGTCTTACCAAAAAAATAATGTAATTACAGATTCTAACAATTTCATTTTGTATTTTTATTTTTGTTTTTGTTCTGGCAGGACAATAATGGAGGCGCGTCCGGTTCAGAGATCAGGTTCGAGAGAGCTTATTAACCTCACTCACACTACTTCAATACCTTCAGCACCAAATCCTTCATCTTCAGGAGCAGAAGATTCTCAGTTAATGTCTAAGCCATTAGGACAACAAACCTACCATTTACTTTCCTCCACTAACAATGGAGCGGTTGGACATATATGCTCTTCGTCATCCTCTGGCTTCTCAACCAATCTCCATTACTCATCTATGGCCTCTCACGAGAAGCAACACTACGCTGGAAGCAGCGCTAACGATAGTACTTCTTGGTGCCATCATGGAGAGTTGTTTCTTGATTTTCCTGAGGCCAGCCATGTTAAGGAGGATGGTGTCATTGGTTCTGCGTTTGATGATGACATTCAGAAACGTAATGATTGGCATGAATGGGCTGATCACTTGATCACTGATGAAGATCCTTTACTATCTACTAACTGGAATGATATTCTGCTTGACACCACTTCCAATTTAGATTCAAAGGTTGTTCAAGTTCCACCGCAAGCCCAACAGATTGTTCAGCAGCAACCTTCTCCCTCGGTGGAGCTGCGACCTGTCGGCACGATATCTTCAAATAGTAATAATGGAACGGGAAAGGCACGTATGCGTTGGACACCAGAGCTTCATGAGGCTTTTGTTGAGGCTGTTAATAGTCTTGGTGGCAGTGAAAGTGAGCATTTATTTCTCTTTTACTTTCCCTTAAACTTTGTGTGTTAATTAAACTGATTGTTTTGTGTGTTTGTTTACGTAGGAGCTACTCCTAAAGGTGTGCTGAAGTTTATGAAAGTTGAAGGCTTAACTATATATCATGTCAAAAGCCATTTGCAGAAGTATAGGACTGCTAGATATAGGCCAGAACCATCAGAATGTGGTAGATACCAAACTCTTTCTTTATCTTTATTTACTTAATGATTTTTCTGAATAAGAAACTTCAAAAATTGTGTTATTTTGAGGGCTACAGGTTCTTCAGAGAAGAAGTTGACACCGCTTGAACATATAACATCTCTTGACTTGAAAGGGTAACTTACCAAGTGGTTCACCATTTTAACAAATTCTCATCTTGTTTGATGGCTTAAAATCTTTTTTTTTTTTTGGTACTACAGTGGGATAGGTATTACAGAGGCTCTGAGACTTCAGATGGAAGTGCAGAAGCAACTCCATGAGCAGCTAGAGGTATGTCTTATCTTATATTCAATAAGACATTGCTTATAGGTTTGTTTTTTTTTTTTTTAATGTCAGCAAACAGTACAAAGGTGAAATGTTTTTATTTTGATGTTTCTTGTAGATTCAAAGAAACTTGCAACTCAGGATAGAAGAACAAGGCAAGTACCTGCAGAAGATGTTTGAGAAACAAAACTCGGGTCTCAGCAAAGGGACAGCATCAACATCAGATACTCCAGCCAAATCCGAAGAGGAAGACAAGAAAACAGATGATTCAAAGGAGCTCGCATCAGAGGAGACAAGGAATAGCCAAGAAGAGCCAGAATCTTCTCAGGCAAAGCGCACCAAAACCGATAATTGAAAGTATCTTTTTGCTAAGACTTTGTGTTTTGTTGAATCATTTTGGAGTTCCAGAGAGATATAAACTCAACTGTTTGACTATTTTTTTCTGATGGAAACACTCTCAACTCTGCTTTGTAGAAAGACAATGGATTCACAAAAAAAAAAAGAAACCAGAAAACAAATAAAGTTAGTTCGGCATACTTCGAAATAATTCTAAATTATTATCGCATCATTAGTTTATGGATACACATCCTATGTTTAAATTTTCTAGAATATGAAGCCCTGAGTTTTTCTCTTCATAAAGTTCCTTCTAGTGGCATGTACACATGAGTTTTTAATAGAAAATACACATACATAAAAGTTGTTGGAAAAATAAAATATTACAAAAGAGTAATGAAATTTGGAAGAAAATATGATTTTCTTTAAAAAAAATATAAAGTTTCCATATGAGTTCACTAGGTCAGCATCTAGGCATCTTTTCATACTCTTCCCTTCATTTGAATCAATCTTTAAGTAAATGCAACATAGATAAAATGAAAAGGGCCAAAGAATATTATTTAAATGAAGTTCCAAATGGTTTAGTCACTGTGTTTCATATTAATCTATACACTCCAAATCTTAGAAAACAAGCTCTACCGATCTCATATCTCAAATCATACTAATCTAATTTATTGGTTTAGTATGGCTTTTAGTTTAATATTTTGTTTCTCAAACCGGTTCAGTTCAGTTTCAAACCTTGCTAATTGCTCTCAAACTCAATCTAGTAGTTAGTTCGATCTCAGTTTGGCAAGAATCAGATTTTCATGCAATTAGTTTACAAAAAAAAAAAAAAACAGATTTTCAAATAAAATACCGTTCTGGAGTTACCGTCTTCCTCAAGGAATATCATGATACAGAGTTTTAGTCTAGCTAGGATTTTGTACCCTATTAAAACATTGTTTTATTCTGAGCTGAATCAATTTTATTTTTTGGTCATTTGTCTATTGAGGTTGTCTGAGAATTCACATATAAGCGTCATCAGGAAGATTGTCTTTAGTAGGCTGCTGCTTTTTCAGTTTTCAGTCAAAAGATTAGCTAGAGGGAAGAGTAAAAGATATTTTATCAAAGTGACCACAAGAATTTCTTTGTTACATGTTCCCAAATATTGAAGGAAAATAAAAAAAAATCTCCAACTTACAAGAATATAAATATTAGAAAAAAGGAAAAATCAAAGTCTGTGATTAATGATCAACATGGTCACTCATGAGACATTCACCAAACTGTAGTAGTAAGAGACAAATGCATAGCTGAAGCAGAAACTATCTTCTTCCGTTGAACTTGCTCCAGCTTCTTCTTGAAACTTTCGCAGCTCTTCACGAGCAAGTTCAGGATGATCTCGCTTCATCAGCCTCTTGAGTTGCTTGCTACCGCTACTTCAATGGCTCCACCATTTCCTCGCTGGCTTTTTTTTTCCTTGGACCCAGCAAGAAATTTGTTTGTGTCGTTCCATCTTCTAGAGTATCAACTTGTATAGATTTCATTCCTTAGCTGTAAAAAGAACAGCTGTTTGCATATATGTATGGGACTTGTCCTGTAATGAGATCTCCCTGGTTGATACCAAGTGTCTGTTTCCTCCTTCAGCTTTGATGTTCCCGTATGATCAGCCAATTCATTCAAAAATTTAAGGACCAGAAGCTGAAACAGGCACCCATCCATATCAGCAGAGGTCTTTTATGAACCTAAAATGAGAGTACCATTAAAATTGTTAGTGGTTAAATCAAACCTCTTAATAATTTGTTTTCACTTGCCTTACCATAAAAGACAATTGTGTTTTCACTTATCTTACCATAATAATAAGTGACAATGTGTAATATACGTATATTCAACATCAGAGTAGATCCCAAGCTTAAGCCCTTTGCTATGAACTTAATCTGATAAAGTATTGATCATCTACCAGGTTTCCCTTTTAAATATATCAAAAACACAACTCAATTTCGTTCTTAAATTTTCAAATCATCTCAATAAAAGCAAACAAAATGTTTTTTCTTTTCTTTTGGCGTTTATATAACCTGAGAATCTTAAGTTCACCCCAACAATCATATATAAACACAGAGAAAACAGTACACAAATATTAAAAACAGAGAGATAAGTAAAACAAAATAACAAACATCTTATCTGTTATACTTACGTTGATGCACTTATAACCTATTGCAGAGAGACTATTTGAAATCATTGCATCAGTTGCAGAGAAACTCAGATTATTGTTAAATTTAATAATAGATCTATCAATCTTGTATCAGATTGTTTTTCTTAATAATAGAATCAGTAATCACGGGTTTGTTTGATGAGAGAGTTCACTGATGTTACGCTGAAGTGATGCCAACTATTCCATCTGATAAGAAAATAATGTATTTTGCATTAAAAACTCAATTGAAACTACACTAATAGCAAAACAATATATGAATTTCAGCATTTGTAAAATCATAAAGAAACAAACGTTTGTAAGTGAAAGACAAAGAAATTAGATGAGTGTGAGGTTCAGTCTTCCAAGTACGCACCGTTTGATCAAAATAACCACAAGTAAGCTTTGTCCCCTCGGATTCTAAGCAACTGAATTGACCGATCCAGCACCACCAGACCATCTCTCTGCTTCCCATGACCTTGGTTCCGCCATCAGATCCGAATCGCTCTTCAAATTTCGATCAGACCAATGTATAAAGGAGGCAATGGTGTTCGTATGTCTCGCCGTGGACAAGTCTATTATGCTTAGCTGGTTTTGCCTGGGTAAAAAACCAGACAAGACAACAACTTGTTCTGGTTTCTGGCTGATGAAGTTAAAGATGGCTGAGTCTTTCCCGGGACACTCAACGAGCAGTGTTGGTTCGAGCGTATTTTTGTTATATCCAAAGGTATAATATTTGCACTATGGAACCAATCTTTAGCTTGTTCTGTCCATATCAATGACCAGTGGTGGAGTTAGAAACATTTATAATCGGGGTCAAAGTCAATTAAAAGTTTGCATCACATATCTACATTAAAAAGTGCACAAAGAATGACCCATGTTTTGGTTCAAAGAATTTGTTTTTTTAATTATTTTGGTTATGTCCATCAACGAATGATCCATGTTTGGTTTGCTTGTTCTTTCCTCAGGTTTAGTCTATAGTCAAGTATTTCGACTGAGGCACACTTGCATGGAGCGAGACTGTAGCTTTGACTCAGTGTCCAAAGAGCCTTCACACTTGTGAAGCATTGCCTTGCTCAAAGTGGTGGTACAAAGAGCCTTCACAAGTGTTTCCATCACGTTGCAAGGACTATTCCTTACCCTCTTCATTGGCAAGCTTCTTATTAGGATCATCGGCAGAAAGTTGTTATGGTTTGATGAAGTTGTTGGTGATTGGCGTGATGAAAGTTCTTATGGTTTGATGAAGTTGTTGGTGATTGGCATGATGAAAGTTGTTATGGTTTGATGAAGTTGTTGGTGATTGGTGTGATGTTTTAGCTGGAGGAGTGGGAGAGGTTTCAAATGTCAGATCTGACTTCAGGTTAAAATGGCTACCACTGGCTGTTGTTGAAGCTGGAGTGTCATTGGTGGCTTTTGGCAGAGTTGGGAAGACTTCGATTTGGGCTACTGAACTCATCCTTGAGAAGAAAATCAGGTTGTCACTACTTCTACCAAATGGGTTGATTGTGTTCTTAGGTTGCCATCTGCATCTTGTGTTCAGCTCTTGGGAGCACAAAGCGTTTTTGCTTAGAAGAGAGGAGTGCATAGAAAGAAGAGAGCGGAGGAGTAAATAAGAAAGAGAGATGAAGTCAGTTCGTGAACAAAAGAATGGAGTAGAGAGATAGAGATGAAGTAGAAAAACAGAGGAATATTGATTGGATTGTTTTGTTTTTTAGTTCTTTTTGTTTACTGTTGTTGATGTTGAATAGAAAAAAGGAGTGTAAAGAAAGAGACTGAGAGATAGACATCAAGTCTTATATTGGTACAGTAGAAAAACAAAGAAATATTGATTGGATTGTTCTTTTTTGGCATTGTTCACCGAGCTTCTCTCTGAAGTCTGAACAAAGAAAGTTTTGCTCACAAGAAACTTAGCATTAACCAAATTGTTAGATTGGACCGTTAGATTTTCCTGGAACTCTGACAGTTTATGTTAGATACGCTGATCCAACGATTCAAATTCATAAAGGCTGTATAGGTACAATGGTGGACCCAGCATCTAATTTTAGATTTGTCATAAATATATAATTTTCTAAAATATTACAATAAAAGTGTCAACTGTGGAATTTGAAGCCGGGTTGGGGGGGGGGGGTCAAAGACATCACAAACACCATTTGAGCTACTAATTCCTTGCGCAATTGGGTACATCATAATGATATTTATCATTTAACCTGTTTCAACTGACCCACCTTTTCCTTTAATGGGTCCGCCTCTGTATAGGTACGTATTTATAGTGAACTGACACGTAGACCATCGAGAACATAAAACTACAGGAGCCGCTCCTTTAATTTTTAATAATAATCGTGTTTAATACTATATATTAAAATTTATAATATAAAGAACAATTTAAACGATAATTTAGAAGGTTGACCAAAAAAAACACAATAATTATTTCTTGTTAAATACAGAACATAGGCGGCAGGTATTAACTAATTACCTCGTTACATAATGTGTGTGTTTTTTTTCTGTTAATCAATTCTATACAACTCTTAAACTATTTTTATTTTATTATATACAATACTAGGTAAAACCTGCCCTACGGGCGGGTAAGCACGTTATAATGTTATAAGTAATTGAAAAGAATTTCAAATTCTAATAAACATTTGATATTTTCAATTATTATATGTCTATTTTACGCTAAAACTTTAGCAAAACTGTGAGGGGTATTATGCTGTTATCTTGAAAAAAATATTTTTCTATTATAAAATTTAAAATTAACATGTAAAAAATCTATAAATACTATTTAAGAAGTGAATTTGATGTTTGCTGATTTGTCATATATTCCATGATTATAGGTAATTTTGATAATTTATCAATTTATATAATTTATTATATATTTAACACAAATTTATATTAGTATTAGATTCTTAGAATATAAAATACTTCTTATGTATTAGTTTGCTGTCTTAAAATATATTTTTCTATTATAAATTTAAAATTAAGATATAAAAAGTTGTAATTATTCTATAATTGAAATAAATTTACACTAATAATATTATACTTTTGGAGAATATGGCAATTCTTATGTATTATGTTGTTATCTTGAAAATATATTTTTATATTATATAATTTAAAAGTAAAATAGAAAAACTTATCTATTATTAATTAAATATAAATCATCACTCAAGAAAAATTATTTAAGAAGTGAATTTGCTGATTCATTAAGTTCTCAATGATTTTAGGTAATTTTAATTATATGTCATAATTTTTATAATCTTATATAATTATTATATAGTTAAAAAAATATCATTTTATATTTTTAGAAAATAAAGAACTTATGCATTATATTGTTATCCTGAAAATATGTTTTTCTAATATAAAAATTTAAAATTAAGATATAGATATTATAATTAAATATAAATCAAGAAAATAGTTATAGAAATATATTCTTTTAAATATTTCTGATGTTTGAGTTTTGTCATTGATAATTATTTGATGTTTGATTTTTACTTTGTGAAAACATAAATAATAACACTATGCTGATTTTTAAATTAATGAAACATCAACTAATAAATATTTATAAGAAAATTATGTCCGCAAGTGCGGGCAAAACACGTAGTTGTTTATGTAATCTTGTCATGCGTGAATAATTAGAAACCGATGAAAGTTTATGTGGGATTACAGCCATGGGCCCAAATATTCAAGGGAATATAAATTTAAAAATAAGCCCAAGTTCATGTTAGGGTTTAGGATTTTGTAGGTTTATTTGGAGTGTGTGTGAAGAATCCTTGCCTCACAAGACAAATTGATTTCCTTACACATACAAAGACTCAGATCAACTATTGTTCAACCTATCCGTCCATCTAGGTCGTATATCTGCCGGTGAAGACAATGGATCTCTTATGGGCTGTCTTATACGCCAGTGTCGTGGCTGTAGAGATCATATTTGTCCTCTTGGTTATCATCTTGACGATGCTCGGACTACACCTTCTCCGCATGTTTTTGACCGCCGTCACGGGTAATAATTCCAAACCGTTAGAGGCCTCAAGTCAGGTGGAAGAAGAGCAAAAGTACGATACATCTAATAAGATTCTAAGTGATGTAAGTAACCCATAATCTTATTTCCCACTTTCTCGTATATTGATTCGTCTTAAAATCTTTCTTAAACGACATGTATTCAGATTATTGATTAGGAATATAATTACGTCTTAGATATCCAAACATATTGTAGTGGAACTAGCGTCGAATCTCTTTAGCCTCAAGCTGTTTTCTTCACTTGTGTAGAGTAGATTTCTGGCTTGGGTTTAGTTACAAATTACTTAGTTTCTATATAGTTTTAGCTCTGATTGCACATAACTTTCTTTTAAAGTACACAGTGATTCTTATTTCTGCGGTTATCTACATCAATCATTAATGCCTTGTTGATAAACTTTTTAATACGCGAATGTTCATGATGAATCATGGTTCAATGCAGGTAACCGAGATTAGATCAAAGATTTCACAAATTGAGCTTGATGTTCTGAAAATTAAGCAAGCGGTTTCTGTTTTAGTAAGTCACATCTTTCTCCTCTATATGCATATTTCTGGCAAGCTGATCCCTCCTATGCGTATATGTATATGGTCTTTATCAACTAAACGAAAAAAATATTTAAAAGGACTATCATCTTATTGCTTTCTTAATTAATATTGTCACTCTTTATATGCAAAATTTACAGCAAGTGAAGATTGAAAGTCTCGAAAGCAAACAGGTAATCTACTTACAACCATCAGATATTTACCACAAATTACTTCACATGATCTTATAATCTTTATATATCCGAAACATTTATTAATTTTGTTGAACCTGCAGGATGCGACTCTCTCCGAACTAAGCAGGGGTGTTCTTGGACCCTGCTTAAAAATGAAACCTTGGCCCTGGGAACTCGATTTTTGAAGGGCCCCATTTAAAAAAAATGTAGTTAACTTTTTAAGACATTTTATTATTTTATGTAAAGGAAAAGTGTGCCAACCAATAATGGAAAAATGATAATAAGGACATGTTTATTGGGAATTTTTAGGATTGGATTTTTAACTCATGATTTTACATTTTTTTTTGTTTTTATTCTTTTTGGCTAAGGCCTCGATTGGTACTGCTAATGATAAACATTAGCAGTATGCTGCAGAAGCAGTATGCTACAGAAGCGTATACGATTTTAAAACTGTCATAATAGTTAGTAAAATAATATATTTCTTTTAAAATAATATATATATATATATATAATATGTATTAAGAATATATAATTTTATTAAAAATAATGAATTTTTATTATATAAATTATATTTTAAAGTTTCAAATTTATTATAAAAATACTAAATTATTTTTGGATATAAACATATTACTATATAAAATTATAGTTATAATTTAATTAATTATTATTAAATTATAGTTATTATTAAATAAATAATTTAATTAATTATATTTTATATATAAATTAATTATAATTTATATATAAATTATTATTATTTATTTATTGGTAGAGCACTAATTACTCATATATAAAATTATCAGAAAAGTTAATATATAATTTATTTATTAGTGTCTAAATAATATGTTTATATCGATAATATATAAATTATATTATGTTATGTTTGTTATTAAAACTAATGAATGATATATGTAATTATATAAATTATATTATATTTTAAATGTGAAATATTGTTCTTTTAAAAAAAAAAAATTATAATTTTTGTTTTTGTTTTTAAGACCGTACACTTCTGTCAACCTTTTCTTTGTTGTCCAAACCATTAGAATTAGAATCTATGATCATCAACATGTCTTGAGAAACCATATGCATGTGTTAAGTATCTAACTATATTAAAAGGGCGATATGAGAGCCAAAGAAGCTGTCCACGTATGCAAATATAATCAACCAATTATAAAGCTCCGTATTGCCACGTCATCCTTGCTAGGTATTACGATTGGTTTGGTCGTCTTCTCCGCTTCCATTACCCTTCTCTCCCAATCTGTTTCAGTGAATTACTTCACCACTAACTTCGCCAGTA